GCCAGGAACGAGACGGTTCGGCGCGATTCCGCGTCGAAAAATCGTTACGATCCGCTTCGTCGCGCCGCCTTTTCAGATTTGCTCCTACCGTAGGGATATCGTGCTTCTTCTTCGGTGCAGGGAAGGTTGTACATTGAATCCCGGTATACTCTCTTAAGTCGAATCGATGAAAGTGTCACTAATTGAATCAGTGAAATAGTATTCTACCGATAATCAGTGATTGATTTCAAGCGGACGTTCACGCACGAAGAAGAAAAGAGACACATGTGTAAACCTCTAGTCCTCGACGCAGTATAAACCATGTCCCGACGCTTGTCAGTTGTCGACGGTGTTTTTACAACTTGCGTTATTCGCGTGAGTCCGATCGAGACCGCCGACGGTGGACCTCAGTTTACTGCCCCAAGGATTAACCGAATTATTGATCCGCGTTCGCGTCGATAATTCACCGAAATGCGCACTGCATTTGTCCGGTAAATATAGCCGCGTTATACCGGCGGCCCGCCCTTCGATTTCCATTTGTCCTGCGCCGCGCGGCGGCTGCCGTCGCCGCGAGAGAACGGACTTCCGCATTAACATAAACGCATTACCGGGCGGCGGCGGCCGCTGACAACGCGTCCGGAACGACGGCCGCTTCTAACGAGTGAAAAATCGTCGGTACAGCGACCGTATCGCCGTCGGGACCGTCCTGGCCGACTACAGTCTGGCTCGTTGGATCGCAACGGTCCGCGAGGACGACTGGTCCTTTTGCTCCTCGTTGAGAAAAAGCCGGCGTGATCTAATTACGGGGCGGGAGGCGAGCGAGTCGCGGGAATTCCCGGGGAAAACTCCGGGCCTTTCTTCGAACAGCTCTCGAGGCGAGAGATTGTTGTTGCTGGTGAGATGGCTCGATGCACTCTATCTCACTCCGCCATCTCTCTCTCTCTCTCTCTCTCCCCCCCTGTCTGTCGAGGCTGGTTGGCTCGGCTGGCACTGGCTGGTGACGATCGATGCCACTAAGATTCAGCGGATCCCGATGACGTAATGAGGATGAATCGGCCGATCCGAGAGGCGGCACTGCTCGAAGACCGACCCTATATCGTCGAAGGGGGATACACGATGCGACGTATGTACGTACAAATGAACGCGAACGTATGTGCTCCGGCTGGAGATAAATGCCCGGGTCGCCGGGAATTATGGCTGCTCGCGCGCTGTTGTTCCGCTCACCTTTCCTCGCGCGGAAAGGATATCGGTCGTGACGAGGAGACGGAGGGGAGGAGGTGCAGTTTAGAATAATTCACTCCAAGTCTAAGGTCTAATTGCGATGCTCGGGGAGTACCTGTGACCTCCTACCCGCGAGGAACTTCGTCGTTTCCCCGGAGTTCGGATTATATCGCGAGTCACTCGGGCGTTACGTCGGGAAGAGACGCGACCTCTTTATTCCTCCGCGAAATGAATACGCGCGAAAATTCGCGAGAGACGAAGGGATATTCCGCTGACACTTGGACACGTTTCCCCGCTCCGATGATGAGTTCTCGCGCGCGCGCGGTAAACACGCCCTGGGACCTATCTGCAATTACGTACGAGCGAACGCGTCTAAATCCACCCCGGCGCGGGCAACCATAGAGCAGCGCGTGTCGATGTACATATTTTTCTCTTTCCCTTTGCACTCGATACGCGCGCAGGTGGGGCAGCGTGCCAGAGCGAGGGGACCGAAGCGAAGAGGGTCGTGATGGAGGAAAAGAGCGAGGGGTGGCCGGGGCGGGAGGGATAGTGGAAATGAGATAGAGGTTGGTAGCGAAGGAGAGAGAAGTCGGGTCGCGCGCGCGAGAGAGAGAGAGAGAGAAAGAGAGCAAAAGGGGATGGATGTAGTAAGAGAAAGAGGGAGAGAGAGAGAGAGAGAGAGACGGGCACGAAGAGAGGAAGGGAGACCAGGAAAAGGGACGAAGAGGTGGCGGCAGAAGGGTGAGGTGGAGGTGGTGGAGAGAGAGAGAGAGGGGCAGATTTGACCCTGCCTGTGCACCTGGATAGGAGGCTGTAATCAATACCACAGAAAGCGCGCGCTGCGCCAGGCTCACCCCTTATCCGTCCGCCTACCGATACCTGAATAAACGACCGTGCCCTCCGCCTACCTTTGGACCTTTTTGCGCTCGATACGTACGTAGCAAATACGTATCGTCCGATATACAATGAGTATCGCTTTCGACTTGATATATGCGGCGGCGGCGATGCCGTACGACTACGCCGGGCGGGCGTACCTTTCCTCTCGCAAGTAAGGGCGATGACAGGTCAAGGGATAGCAACCGCCGCTTCGTCGTCGTTTTCTTCCTGCTGCTATATTTATAAATCGCTCGTTTTTTAATATCTTTTTTTTTTCTCCTCACCGATAGAGCGCCGGAGTCGATAAAAATAAAAGGAAAGGAGCGAATTTAAGTGCGCGTGCGGCTGGCGTGTAACAAAAGCGTCTAAAAAGAGCGGCGGGGTGAAAAAAATTCTTGATAGCTCCGCACGTCCGGACGGGAGATATTTGCGGGGCGAGATTAAAACTCTAATCGCGATCCGTCGCCGGCATGGATTCGGGCCAATTGATTCGCGCCTTCTGGCCGATATTCTGAACAGTTTGTTCAGAACATTTCCCGTGTATTTCACGCGTATTTAATTGGCACTCCTCGGCTTGTCATGTACAAGACGATCTCTGTGCTTACTTGTCTGGCAAATCCGGTTGTTTGCTTGCTTGTTTTCATTACAAGTTCCTCGCTGAAACAGATTGCATAGCTTCCCGGGGACGGGAGCCGGTAGATAGAGCTGTAATCCACGATTATGCGTCATAATTATTCCAAGTGGGATTCTTTGATTAACTCCGGGCCGATTTTCTCTTAAAGAAAATTTAATTGCGCAGGATCTTGCTTTCCTCCGAGAGATCTCGATATTCAATATTAAGCATCCCATCGGCTAAGCCGTAAGTTAAAATTCTGTTTAATTAAAGCCTACGTAAAATTCATGTAACTGTGGAATGTAAGATTTTTGTTACCCATCAGCAGCCGTGAAACAATTTCGCGAGACGCTCTTTGCGTTTATTTCGCTCGCTTAAAACGATAACACGATCGGTGTTACCCTGCATTTTCGCGACGGCGAAAAATCGCGTTCGAATCAAACCGAAGATTTTTCATCACCGGTGGGTGAAAAAAAAAAAATATATATATATATATAATGAACCTTCGATACCCTCGCTTTCCTCTCGTTTTGTTTCTCATCGCTGTTTAGACGGCAAGGGAATCGTATCGCGCCAAATATTTCGCCCCCTCGCGAATGACAATTTCCATCTTTTCGCTCGACGTTGCGGATTTTGTGAGAATCGCGATACGAGCGAACTCGCAGAGTAATCGTCCTGGGTTTTCAAGCCGTCGAGGGCGTTGGTCGAGACATTTGTATGTGCCGCATTCGCGCCACATTCCTGCGAGTTTGTCGCAATGCATCTTCATTGCTACTTTTCATAGCGAGATGCCGTCTGAATGTGGAATCGCGGCTGTCTCGAAGAGACGTATTTCGGTGTCGCGACACCCGGCGAAGCACGATTATTTATCTTAATGGCCTGTTTCTTCAGCTGAATCCGGGACACGGAATTTTAATACAGAATATTTTTCTGGGCTCTTTCACGCGAAGTGAAATATTTTCACGTGGCTGCCGAGAAATCTCGGGGTTTTGTTTTTTTTAACACGCCACTGTCTCCGAACGCGCACGTCGGTGGATTAACAATTTTTCTTTTTCTCCTTTTTTACGAACGACTCGACAACTACTCAAAGAGAGCTCGGAGATATTCGCGCGAAATAACGAGGACAGGCGCGGAGATATATTTTACGCGCGAGATTCCTCCCGAAAGTACCTCCCGAGATCGTGAATATGTAAGCGACGACCGGAATCTTCTGCGTTACCGCGAGCGGCCAAGTTTTCGTCGTTGCGCAACGAACTTTCTTGCACATGCTGTGCAACACGCGCAGCTACAACAAATCACCCGCCCGGGACAAATTGAAAGGTTTAGTAGGGCCGATAGAGAGAGAGAGAGAGAAAGCGGAATAGGTAATCGCCGAGATCAGCTGAGGCTAAACCGCAGGTGGTCTAATTGCGCGAGCAGGCTTTCCCTTCGGTAATCGGCGAGATGGGGATGTCACATTACACGTGTAGATAATGCATCGTTCATGCAAATTCGTGTCTTGCGTGCCTAACGTTTATCCTTCATCAGCGTCGTTCCCTTTGGCGAGTCTCGAGTGCGACTGGCGATGTTGGCGGTCGGGATTGCGCGTCGTATCGTCAATTTTAATTAGGCCATAATCATCGAGCGATCGTTCGCGGTCCGTTCGCTCGTCCGCTATTCTTTCGCGTAATGAACGAAGCGGAGAGAGATTTCGGCGACTCATATTGTATGATCATTAACGTCCCGCTAACGACCAGCTAACGCCCAACTGTTTATTAGGGCGGGTCGTCCCCTCTAAACTCTCGACGTTTCAATGTGTCGGTACTTTGAAAATGGAACAATCAATGTCACGCGTCGGAGAGAGTGAGGGATAAATCTATCACGTCGTGTGTGTCTTTCCGCGAAAGCGGGGCGTGAAATTCTCCTTCTTTCATCTCGCGACGAGGAACGGCCAAAGTCTTCGTCGAGCAACCGTCAGTCAACCAGACTTCATATCTTAATTAATAGCAGCGCTATATAAGTCGTGAGAGAAAATATCTAGTTTCCCGGTTTTCCCAAGTTTCCCAATTTACGTTTGAGAGGAAGCCGACGTCGACTTTCTCTCGGACGTAAATCGGGAATATGTTTCTCCAAGTAGAGCCGTTAGATTTCGGCCGTTCTAATATTCCCAACGCGTCACGATCACTCTATTTTAGAGTGTCCCTCGCTGGCTTTACTTCTCAGGATATTTCCGGAGTGCTCGATGTACTTACCTTGCGAATCGCTCTCGCGTGGTCACGCGCGTGGCGTAAGAGAAGGATTGCTCACGACACAGTCGGCCACAACACCAGAGTAATTTACTGTCGATAATTTATTTCTGATTATAGATACAATATACATCGTAGGCTAGACGAAACACTTATTAGGTATATTAGCCTATCTATAAATGGTACGGTGTGTGAACGCAACACAACGAGTTAGGAATGTAAAACGAATGAAACTCATTGCACCGTCGCGTACAACGCGACGTATTCGAGGAAACTCAAGGTCGATTGGTTTGCGAGGGTGATCTTTTATAGTTCTCTCGTCCAGCGCGCGTTGGTTGGATATTCACGCTCGCGCACGTCAATGTATTTCGTGTGTGTGTGTGTTTGTGTATGTCGTCTGTCTCTCTCTCTCTCTCTCTTTCCGTGTCTGTGTGCACACGGTACGTATGCATGCGTGGGTGTGTTGAACGGCACCGTTTTTAACATCATTGTCGCGACATCTTATCACTCTGTCACCATACACTTAATTAGCTACTTAGTCGCACGAGTGAAGGATGATTGAAGTAACTCGATAATATTTACACGGCCACTTATTAATAACGCGCCTCGTGTCCAATACGGAACTGGCAGTCCGCCGATATGCAACGTTTGATCCGATTTGTCGGCCGTTTTTTCTGCTTTTCCTTTTTCCTCCGTCGGGGATAACACGGATGTTGAGGTCGCGAACTCGCGTTCGCCGAGAGAGTGAAATTCGTTGGAACGCGCCCCGCGTTCCTCGCCGTTCTCCGATGACGTCTCGTGAACAGAAATGTGCTGGTCCGCTGGTTGCGAATATCCGCGGTTGCTGACTTTTCCCGCTTTCTCGGTTTCTCGAATTAACTTTACTCCGATTGTACGCTCGGTACGAAAGCCGGTACACGCTGCGCGAAAGTCGAGTTTTTCACGGTCGGATCGCCGTCGTCTACCGTTCTGTTCGTAGACGCTGTTAATTAAACTCTGAGATTACATTTACACGAAATTAAAAGACACATATACGTCGTATAATTAATCGTCGTCGAATTAATCTACGGTTGACAACCTATAAACGAATAATACGCAGGATAAGTCGATTCGACGCGCGTGTAATGGACTTCACGCGGGACAGAAGATATTTCGATTTCCGGAAGCATTTTGCCCTCACTGACGAACGATCTCAGATTTTTCATCGGGACTGCACGCGTCGCTCGCATCACCGGGTCTGTTTCGTTGTCGGACAGTCAATTACTACTTTCACATACATCCGATTCGATCGACCCCGGTTCTCCACAATTAGCGGACGCGAGAGAACGGTGTTCCGGTCTGATCTACGATTGAAATCCACGTAATCGGAGTAAGTATCCGTCGAGACGGAACTCTCCCCCCTTCCCCGCCCCTTTATGCCGCTGCGTCAGATCAGATCGCAAACCGAACCGAGCTGCTGATTTTTTCGCGCTACTGATCGCGCGACGACGCTCATATCGTTCCTGCCTCGATATTACCCTCTCGCACCGGGTTCGCCGAAGGGATGGAGCGACCTTGACGGGAATCTCAGCAGTTGAGATCGCGAGAGCGGAATCTGCCAAGTTTTCCGAAACTTCCACAAACGGTACCATTCGTACGCCTCATGTCCATGAGTGAATTCGCTCTGATTCAACCTCGTTCGATCCCCCCCTCCCCCTCTCGTCCATCTTTTCCACGGGTTCTCCTACGATTCGCACGGCGGGAGTTTTCGGTCTTTCTCCCTTTTCTTTTCCCCCTTGCAACGTGTAATGCATCTTAGTTCTCGTCCCTCCTCTTTTTCCTTTTTCACCGAGAGCCGATTTGAGAAAGAGCGAGAGAGCCTCGAAGTTTCCTCTCGTCATCTCTCACACTACGAGCCTTCCGATCGGTCTCCCCCGGTGCGAGACAAAGCGCACCTTCGCCGTTTACTTCCCCCTCTCCCACTTACTTACATATTCACAGTTATGATTTCGATCCCGTCCTTCCTGCGAGAGAGCTCGGCGAGACCAGACAAAGTCCCTTTCCTCGATCGGACCGGATCGATCGCGCTTGCACGCTGCATCCTCGCCGGAAGATCTTTCTCGTTCCTCGTTATATATTGACATATTTACACGTGTGGAGTTTCCTCGTGAATATACCTCTAGTCGCGTGTGATTGTTGATAGCTTTCAACGATGATAAGGATATCGGAATGCGCCGAACATGTGGCGTCGCCGTCATTCAGGAAGGAACCAGCCGACAGTTCTTTCTTCCGCCCTCTTATTGATAATCCGTCCGATACGCAACAGATTGGTTCGTTTCTATCTATAAGACGACCCACATGGAGTTTTTCGTTTATATTCGAGTGGTGAGGAGTCCCACGGTCGCGTGTCAGCCGAGTGTCGATGCGTGATATTCCGAGAATCCCGAGATGAAGAACACATCAAACTCGATCGTTCCGTCCGTTCCATGCCGGCTGAATCCGATGTCTCGGGGGGCCATCCGATGGTGTTATCTCCAGTCTACTTCCGAAATACTCAGGATATATTTCATCGGCTCGGAATACACGCACTCGACACTCAGCTGGTATATCCGACTGGCGCTCTCCTCGCTCGCGGACGCTCCGTAATCACGCAGACGTAAACGCTAAAACAGAAACTTCTTAAACTCGACTCGTCGAGGCGTTATCGATCGTGCCGGAAGTGGTCGCTCGCGAGGCGAATCCTCGAGTATCGCGGGAGTGTGTTCGCACGATATCACACGGGGGATTTTTGGACGTCTGCGGTTCGATGTACCGCGACGTGCCGCTTCGTTCGCGTGTGATCGCCGCGAATGGACGCGGGGGTCGAGAGAAAGGAGAGGGATGAATGGATGGATGGACAGGTAGATAGATGGTGGGGAAAAAAAGGGGGGACGGAGCGAGCGTTGTAATTATCACGCGACAACATTGTTGGAAATCATTAAAAAACAACTCATTCGCACGCTCGCTCGTTCGCTCACCCACTCGCTCATTCGCTCGCTCGCGCTCGGCTTGCAAAAGGTTAATGAGTGTTCGCGGGCGTGCGGCAAATCGAATATCGGAAAAGTGATCACGCGCTCGGTTCTGCTTACACACACATACAGACGAACACACGTACGTAGCAAGTCGGCCGCATTCGCGCACACGGAAACATGGAATATTTTAAGATTACGTTAAAACTATCCGATCTCCGGCTGGCGAACAGCCATCTTCGGTCACGTCGTGCGGCAGTTTCGTGCGAGATTTACGAACATAATTAGCGCAGGCACAGCCTCATCATCCACTGGCGAATCCAGAGAGCCTCCCTCTCGCCCCCGGCCGCCTGTTCGATTCGATCTCCCTCTCTTTCTCTCTCTCTCTCTCTCTCTCTCTTTCTTCGACAGTCTCGCGAGAAATGATTCGCTCTCACCTTCGCCGAGATCGCCTCGGGCATCGTATCCGGCGTGGATCGTGTCAAAGTGTAAAGTACGTACGAAAGGTGTAAACGATAATTATAGTACAGTTTTCGAGAGGAAATGTGTGTGTGTGTGTGTGTGTAATTTTTCTTCGTACTCGCGTCGACGCGGTGTCGCCGGAGGAGTTTCCCCGGCGCTGGTTTCGATTCACGGAGGACACGAGAACACGCGTGTCGCGCGCGCGTCTCGCGAGAGTCACGCGTGCGAACTCGCGCGCGGTATACGAACTACGGTATGGTACGGTGGCCGGTCCCCGCCGGCTTTAGAGCAATGTTCCGCACGCATACACGCACGCACACACATACATACTGAACTAGGCGGTAACGTTACTATGACAATAAGTTGTATTATTCGGTGACACATGGGGCATGGGTGTGTCGGTAGCGTTCACTCGGCGGCGTTTTCGCGCGCGAGCGCTCATGACGACGCGTGGCTGCGACGGGGCCCCGCGTCTTCGTCGTGCTTCACGATTGTAGTCCATAGTTTTCTCTCACAACGACGTCCAATGTCGCACACTAAGCTTCTTTCGCACCACTACTTCCACCATTCGCCGTCTACGTCGCAGGTGTTTGGTCTTTCTCTCTCTCTCGAGGTCTTACACACACACACACACACACACGCGCGCGCGCGCGCGCGCGCGCGTACGCACGTACATTTATAGGCTTTATTGTACAAAATGAATCGTAGTTTATAAGGGCAGACGCGACGTCGTGATCGTCGTATTGTCGAGACCAACTAAACAACTAAACGGTCTTGCGCAAGTATACAATATTTACATACGAGAGAAGTAATCCCGCTTGTGTCAGTCGAGAGTCCCGTTGACGTTAGCCGGAGAGTGATTAGTGCTCGAGGATGAGGAGGTCAGCTTTTCGCGCGTTATGGAACGACGGGGTGATTCCGCGTTCGTTCGTTCGTTGATTTCGTCGAAAACGCGCGTCGATCCCGCGCGATGTAACGTCGGCTCGCGTTAAAATGCAGATTGCGCGTATCGATGCCCGGCGCTTTGCCATGTCGATTTAATCATCAAAATTAGGCTGGTCGGAGGGGGGGGGGGGGCGCTCGCTCGATCTCCACGCCCCGTGTATCATCATTATGCGAATATTGTACGAAACTGAATATCATTAAACGATAACCGCTCGATTATTCGCCATTAATTCCGTTATTATGAACCATCCGGTTAGAATCGGCGCTCGCTAAGTTTGCGATGTCCGCGCGCGGACACGAAAATTCGTCGAGCTTCCCTCCTTTTGATTTATACGCGGAATATCGAAATCGCGTCAGATATTTCGCAGGGATACACGATCTTCGCGGGACACAGGATTCTGCGGCTCGTTAATGCACTTCGCGATTTAGTGTTTCGGACGTGCGAGAGAGAGAGAGATCCTCGCTGCGCCGACGCGTCATTATGTCCAGTGATTAAAGAGCGATTTATTAACGACGCGATCATAACGAAGCGTTCTCTCCCTCTCTCTCTCTCTCTCTCTCACTCATTTTCGACGCGATAACGACGTATACGATTAGACCGGGTGGACGCGAAGAGGGTGAGAAAATGGGGAGCCGCCGTACCCGCGCCGTTAATTTTTCCGCAAGCTCCCGAACGGAATTGGAACCGCTAACGAGTCGTCGCCGTCGATGTACGAACATGCTCGACTCGGTGCATGCGTGTGCTGCGACGCCGACTTGACTTTCTAAATCGTCACGTAGGGATCCCCTTTCCCACGGGCGCATTGCGCCGCATACCGAATCGCGCGAAACCATCGAACGAAAGTGCTCGCCACTCGCGCGCGCACACTCCTTCCCTTCCTCTCGTGTCCCGATCTTTTTTTTTCCTCTATTCTTCCGTTTTCGCGTTTGTTCCCTCTGTTATTCGGCCGGACAGATTTCCGAGTCGAAAATACACTCGCCCGACCCTGGTGTAGTTATTGGACGCGCGGAAAATTCACAAAACACAGCCAGCCGAAAGCAGGTCAGTCAATCGATTCTATTGTGCGATGATGACCGAAAACAAGAGTGCGCTGATGGACATCACCGACGGCATATTTTGATATTCGTCAAGCGATACCCCGTCGGGACATAAAGAGGATACATTCGGTTCGGCCTCGTTAGGTCATATATATATATATATATATCGACGGATCGAGGTCGACGTTCCAATCTGCGAGCATCGCCGGTGTCGTTGCGCGGGGGAAACGCAAATGAAAATAATGATCGGCCGGGGAGGGGCTGGAATAAATAAATAACGCGCAGTTAATACACACACACGCGTACGGTGGATCCCGCTTTGCGACGATCGTCCACACCGGCGACGTGTCGTTTCGCGGCGTCGTCCGGCCGCTCTCTCTTTTCCGCTCACCCCGTTCGTGCACGACCAGTCGATTTCGGGCGACGCGTAATTACGCCTTCTTCTTTCTCTCTCGCTCAAACCTCTCGTGAATATTGACCTCGCGAATCGTAACGGCGAATCTCCTTCGCGAGTATGGTCGGGAAAGAGAAAGAGAGAGAGAGAGAAGGGTTGGTGAAGGCTTATCCATCCGAGCGGGCACCGCGCTGATACCGGGGTGGAATAACGAAACCGCGGCACGCACCGCTTCTTTTATTTGCGTATCCCGCTATCCGAATGAAAAACGGCAACCGCCCGCTCTGAGCGTATCGCGCCTCTCCATGTTAACTGTTACGCGATTATTCGTTTTTTCCCTCTCTCTCTCTATCTCTCCGCGTTCCCGTTCTTTCTCTTTCCGCACCCCTACTCATCCTCCCTTTCCCTCGTGTAGTCCCGACATGTACGAGTTCGACGCCCCACGCTCTCGGTATTATGCAGGCTCCGAAGCGGAATCCGCTGCGCGGTCGACGCGCGCGCGCGACGCTTGCCGCTGAATACTAATGCCGGCGCGTTGCCTACGGATTCAATCCGCTCTTTGATTCGACTACTCTTAGGCTGTGAATTAAAAGCGCACCCGCCGACTCGCGCGCACGAGAGCGCGGCGGAAATCCGGGGGAAGCGGCCGAATCGCGTCGAAACTGCCAGTCTGATTCGCGCTCGTCTGAGTGTCTCGGTGACTCGCGGATCCGCTTTGGCGGCCGGCCCTGTTTCGCGAGGTACGCTGTTGTAAAAACCGTGCGAAGGTACTCTTACAAATAACTATAAACTTGTAAGCGGAGTTCCATCGTCGCGGAAGGGACGCGACGGCCGGCATGAACAGAGGCGCAACGTTTAATCTGTAGCCGCGTATCGCGCGCGTCCGAGCGGATTTAAAGGCAACGTGACGTCGCGACGTGGATGTTCCTGGGGGGATACCTCGCGGACACCGTCGACGGGGTCGACGGCCGCAAATGTGCCAGACTTCGTTCCAGATCGCAGAAAAGCAAGCGCGACTACGTGCGTGTGCGTGAGGAAAGGGAGGAGTGAGACGGCGGAGCGAGCAAGATTTGCTGATTTTTCGAAGCTAACAATAAGTAACGAATCGGTCAACTCACGTTAGAAGCTTTTAGTGATAGTAAATAATCTGTTGCGCTGACTTTGACTTCGATTCTAATGACAGTGGATAGTATAATAAGAAAATATTGGATTTTGGATACACTCTTACACGTGATTCGGCGATATTTCGTCATAAAGAATCACACGATCATATTCAAATGTCTTCATTTCCTTTATAAAATTCTTGTACAACGTATCTAAAGACGCGTATAACAACGTGCGCCAAGATAGCGAAATTGATACGTTCTCATGAAACTTAAATCAAGCTTGAATTACATTCGAATTATTTGATAAATTTCTTCACATCATGTAGACGACAAGCGAAGCTTCAGCGAAACTCGGGGAAAGCTTGATCATTATTTTCACGTTGCTGCAAAAATGAGGAGAAATCGACGAAAACCTTAAGATCGTCATCTCACCCTACTTTTCCCTGTTACACACATTGGCCAACCCGAAAGGCGTACGCGAGCTCTTCGACCTTCCTCCTCCCGCGAGGGTGCTTCCGTTGAATTACTTTCGTCGCGATAGGGGAACTTCCTGAAGGGATCCGGAAGTAAACTCGCGATATGAGGGAGGAGACGAGGCTCCCTTATCTTTCCCTTCTCTTTCTCCGGACAAAGATCGTGCCTCCGTTTACTCGCCCGCCCATCCGACCTGCCGTTACTGCTCGTTTTCTTCCGGTGTATCGTCCGAATGTTGTCCGCTTACGAAAACGCTTCGCCGACGGTGCGACGCCGGTGTGACTCGGCTTTGTAACGGGACACTAATTCGCGCCGGTAACGACCTCTCCGCTTCGCTCTCGCAATCGGAGCTAGGAATTATACCGAGACGTTTAGTTTTGCTCCTTAATGAGCGACGTGCTCTTCGGGGAGTTGGTCGCCCCCGGACGATGCGCTACTGCGGGCCTGAGCGTCTAACGTAAACGGTGATGTAAACCGGCTCGAGTGGCAGATCGAGTCGGTAGATTATGCTTCTGTGTGTTTGCGTGCTCGACGATGCGTTTGTTATTACGGTTTACGCGGCGCAACACGCGAGCCACTTCCCGGGGAGTGGAGATCCGTTTGATCTCAATCTGATCCTCGAGATTTTAAATGCAAGGGAGGGACTAGTCGATTCAATGTCTTCCAATTATTGTAGGTAATATAGCTTTTATATTTTTTTTTTATTGGATAATTAAAGCGTGAGGAAAATTTGTCGGAAATGTTGAGTCAACGGAATGAATTTTTCAGCGTAAATAGGTTTATCAGTGTAGAATTCACGCACCAAAGACGGTATTTAAGGCGACGTGCACTCGCGTGCACTCGCGTACTCTCGCGGTTTTCTCGATTCCGCTCCCTGATCCGCAGCGTCCGGCTCAACGAAATCCCGCCGGTTACCGGTTACGACCGCGAACAATTCGTAAGGGCGGCCCCGGCCGGCAAGGTAACGGCCAGAAATGAAACAATAACGTTTGCCCCGGCGCAGTCCGTTGACGTAATATGAGAAAAAATGCCGCTCATTTTTAATTAAAGCCAGCTGCACGTACGCGAGAGCCGCGCGGACGGTCCGGAAAAGCGAAACGAGAGGAAAAACGAGCACGTCCGACCGAGCGCGCGCACATAGAGAGGGCGGGGGGGGGGAGTCTCGTTTGCTGGTCACGAACGGCGTTCTCATGTCGGATGCTATTATAGTAAAGAATAAAAGTGGATGGAAATACCAAGAAACGACGATAGGCACGCGTTGCATGCACTCGAACCTCCCCGGGTATCGCGTCCCTCCCTTCGATCCTGCTGTTCACTCTTCCGAGCCTTTCTTTTCTTTTCTTCCTCCCCTTTTCCTCGCAACCTCTCCGCGGGAAGCGCCTGAAAACGCCGCCTGAAAACGTATCGAACAATACGCCACGCTCCGCGCAGCGGGCAGAACGGGAATGAGGAACAGCTCCGGTCGATCCGGTGAATTATCACGACGCCTCGTAATCATACGCGCGTATTATATACACACACACACAAATCATTACGTGCCTTTGAGCGAACGAGAATCGACGAGTGTCGTCCTGACAGCTCCTTAAATCCGCTGATACGCGGCTTTATCTCGCACGCGGCCGCACCGGCAATTTCGCATCTCGAGAGGCGGATATGTGCTACGTATGTGCCGCCCCGAACGCGATGAAACACGGTTTTCCATCGTGCGAAACGTCGAATCGACTCGCCGATACGCCGATGTGTTCAACCGCGCGTTAATCCCGCTGTTTGTTGCGCGGAGCGCTGCAAGGTCGGGGCGGATTAGGGCGCACGTGCACGCGCGCACCGCAGAGAGAGAGAGAGAGCGCGTGTAAGGGCATAAAGCCAACCACCGGGGTCCGCTCAGAGGTCGGGGAACCTCGACATTATGCGGCGCACCTCGCGTTTAACTTGATAAATGAAGGCGGCGAGTGTCGTTGCGGTCCGACCAGTTCGTCGTCGTCGTCGCCGCGTGACCGCGCTTTTTTCCCGTCGTACTCCGGAACCACCCGATTTCCCAGAAAGAAAGAGAAGGGAAAGAATAGAGGTGACCGGCTGCGGATGGAAGGCAATGCCGGAGGAAGGGCCACTAAACGGCCACCTCCGGCAGAGGCCAAGGGTGGCTATCTTTTTGCCCGGGAAATAAGGGCCGAAGACAGGGACTTGATTATCCGGCCGCGGCAGCGGCAAGAAGCGTTCTTACGCGTGGACCGGCCATTGTAGTACTCGTCGTTGGAAACTTTTTTAATCACGTTCTTCCGTTGCGGATGCCGGATATTGCTCGGCCCTCGCTTCTCGCACCCTCTCGCGAGTTACCAACGTGCGCGCATACTGCTCGAGACTCGTAGGAGCCCCGCACCTCTCTCTCTCTCTCTCTCTAACTCTCTTTCATTCATTATTCATATTTTCCGAGCGTCCTTTCGCTCCCGCGTTCGCGACAGCTCGAAGTTTTATTAATCGTTACGGGCGTCGTCGGCCGACACGAGGCGGTGGCGCGGGCGAAACGCGGCCGCACTGAATTATGCGTCTTGCCCGGGCAAGAAGTCGCTTACGAGTTCCTAAATGTGTTTTAAACCGGTCCCTGAAACGACTATAATGGCTATTCGCGTGCGCGCGCGTCCCGATCGATCACGCTCGGAAGACGAAAAATATTCAAATGACGCGCTTCCCCCTCATTTTCAACCGTCGGGGGATCGGCGGGATCAAAGGGCCGCATAAATTCCCGCGGGATCATTTTCTAATAAAAATCAGCTTTGAGATTTTATTGCGTTTCAATGTGATTTCGGATGCGAACTCGGATCGATTTCGGCACGATTTTGAAAATTGAACGTTTTATTAGTCTCGTTCTCTTTCTCTCTCTCTCTCGAAACCAATGGGAAAGGTGAGAAAGAGGGGGGGGAGGAGGGGAGTGTAATTGTTGAGTCGCATATTGTGCAACGTGTAAACTTAAGGGAATGGAAAATATTGAAACATTTTCGTCGACACTTAGAAAAGGCGCGATTCACAGGGGCGCGAAGAGGGGGAGAGAGAGAGAGAGAGAGACTGGGAAGAAAATAATAATATAAGGAAAACTCTCCCCCCGGTGGCGTTTCTCACGTGTTTCGATGAAAAGCGAAGTACGTGCAGCGTAAGAAACGAATGGGACAGCAACAGTGTGAGCAAGAGTTATAGGTCGCGCCGAGTGCCGTGCGAAATTCGATATTATACTCGAAGCTCCCCCGTGCCGTCCGTAAAGACGAATGGGCAGTTGCTGAAAAGAGCAAATTGCGAGAGCTAATTGAACCGGATGCGTCCCGCGCCTTTCACACCGGCTTGATCGATTAGGACGATGCGCACGCTCTCTCTCTCTCTCTCTTTCTTTCTCTCTCTCTTTCTCTCTCTCACAGTCGCTGTACTCACACCGTCACTCTTGCTCGCGTGCTGTACACGGATTGCGCGGACACACGCGGGTCGACTTTTCTTCTTCATTATCCGCCCTCTACGGAAACGCTCGGCCGATGTAGGAAAATAAATTTCATTTTTTATCGAGCGATATGCCCCCTTCCTCCCCGCGATTTCTGCTGACGCGGGCGACGAGCCCGGGAAACTGCATACACAACGCGAACGTGCGGGCACGGAACCAAGAGTCTCTGGTATATTTGACTTAATTAAGAGGATTTCATTTTAATCCCGCAGAAAATATTTTCACCCGAAGCTCGCTCTGCTGGCGCACGCGCTGGCGTGCGCGCGTCCGTTGCTTTATAACGTATTTCTGTTAATTCCGAGAGAGAGAGAGAGAGAGAGAGAGAGAGAGACAGAGAGAGAGAGAAAGGGAGAGTAAAGAAAGAAGAGCAAGTCTTTCACGAGTGCGTCCGCGAAATTTAATTTGCTTTATGACAAAGACGTCAGTCGCCGGTCAAAGTTTCGAAATCCCGCGGAACGGCTGAATTTTTATCCGCGCGTTTCCCCTTGAAAGCGCCGCGGCGTGATTGTGCGGCGGCCCTATTAATACGAATATTTCTTATGAAAAAAAAAAAAAAAGAAAAAGAAAAATCCTTTATACATTCACCGCGTAAACGCTTTGTAATGTAAAAAAATTCCCTTCCGCCTTGAATTTCAGAAACGTTTCGGATACCGCGATTGGATTTAATGCAAATGTTGTCATACTCCGGCGAGCTTCGCTTTGTCCTTCGCGCTCTTTGACAATAATTGACAATAATATGGAAAACTTGTAATCACCACTGAATTCAATCATATATGCAAATTCCGTTTCGCGTCGTACAGCCGATATTGTGACGCCGCTTCTTTCTTCATGCCAGCGGAGCTGCCCGGTGATTAAAAAAGTAATCCAAGTTCGGGAGAGACATCGAGACACCCGGCGACTTTTGCCGTTGGCTACACGCCGCGTGCGTGGGCGAAGGGAAAATAACGGGAGCCGGGATCAGCGGTCTCCGATTACGCGTTAATCACCGGCACAATACCTTCCGACTCCGCCGTGGGAATTCGAGATCCCTACGCTCGCTCGCTCGCCAGCCGGTAGCCGGAAGTGTGTCAATATTGGAACACGAGAATTAAGGATCGACCAAAGGCTCGTGGCGGGTGTCATCAGGAAAGAATCGGTGCACACAGCGTTTGTCGCGACGCTGCGACGACGATGAAGACCGGTGGCCGACGACGGTCACCGGATTCGAAGCGGGACTCGGTCAAAGCCGCGGTTGCGTGGCAACGATTCCTCCTCTCCTCGATACAGCGTCGTCGTGCACTTTGCCAAGTGAAGGTCCGTGTGTTGAGAGTCGGCAGACGCTTCGAGTCTGTTCGAATTAATCGCGGGAGGAAGGCGAGGCAGCTGCCCCGCATTCTCCTCTTCGTGTTCGCCGGCCTCTTTTCACTTCTCTCGTACTATTCCTTCCTTTCAATTCTCCCGCCCCCGCCCAGCTTTCTCCGTGTTTCTCTGTATGTGTGTGTGTGTGTGTGTGTGCAAGGTGTTCCGGAAGACTCGCGCGTTTTCTCCGGGCGGAGGTACTCCAGTTCGGTTAAAGTGGGAAGAAAAGCGCCGATTGTTTCGTGAGAGTCGCCGAGTTCTAAGCGATTGACAATCAAAGGGCGCGAAATGCAAATGAGTCGCGAAAGTTACTGGTCGATAATTTCCTCGGGGGGGGACTTCGTTTCGAGGGGATTTCTCGGGGAGGCCCGTTTTCACGAAACGCGAGAATGAAAACGGAAAAACAGAGACAGAGAGAGAAAAAGATAGAGAGAGAGAGAGAGAGAGAGAGAGAGTCCCCGGATGGAGAACTATTGAAAATTCAAAGATCGCGTAATTGCGATCGCTCAAAGACGCGCGATTTCCGTGACACCCGCTCCCACCTCCAGTGTTCTTTCTCCTTCGCGCATTCTAATTGTCGCCTTTCGCCCGGTTTCATCGACGATGATCGATTGATAAACGCGAAAGCGTCGAGACGTTGGATGCGTTCTCGCGAAATTCGCCGAATGGGTTTTGCACCTCGGCACTCGTCGTCGTTAATGAAACCGGCCGTTCGCTACGCTTGTTACCTATCGGAACTTTGTAAACTGCGACACGCGCACTCGCGCGCTCCCACGCGTGTCATTCGCATGTTATTCACGTATTTCGCCGCGTTCTTCCTGCGTTGCACCGTTCCTCCGCTCTGTTGCATCGACAAACGGCGCGTCGCTGCGAAAGAGTCATCGTTCCGGTGCACAGTCAAAAGAGCCGTCGGACGTGCATCGTCGCGCCGTACCTACCTCGTCGTGGCTTTCATGACACTTCGGCAATGTTCACGTAACGCCTGGCGGAAGTACCCCCTCTCTCGCTCGCTCGCACGCTCCTTCTCCCGTCCTCTTTCACTCTCTTTCACTCTCTCTCTTCCTCTCACCCTCGTTCATTCACCCGCCCCCACTTTCCTCCTTCTCGACTCTCCACTCTCCTCACTCTAAAGTGTCTTCCGACTTCCTTCTCCTCGAAATAATGCGCGATGGAATGGAACAATTAGTAAAGTAGCAGACACAGGCAGAGCAGAAGGGAATATAGTCTTGGTTGCTTGGCCTGACCGCCGTGCTGCATTGCCGCGGGATACTCTCCTGAAACAGAGGGCAACACTTAAATTTTCTGAAAACGCTACGGGCGTTCGTCGTCTCGTACGCTTTTTTTTTCTCTCTATCTCTCTCCGTCGCTACCTCCCCCCCCCTCTTCTCCCCCAGCCCGCATTATTCTTTTTACCGCTCGACCGTAACGCGAACGTCGAGTGCAATTTAGCTAATTATTTTCCCGTACTTAATTGGCGCGGTTCCCTACACCGCGAGATGCGGCCTCTTCCGGCGGAGAAGAGGCGGGGCCTCTTTTCTAGTCGTAAAATTCGTGTGAGGTGAAAAACGGTGGCAATTATTGGTTTAATCTCTCCCGTTTTTGTCTCGTTGATGTATTTTTACGTTGCACGATCGATATTCGCCGGAACCGGCGTGCGCCCTAGACTCCCCTCGTTACGTGACACCCTCCTCCTCGAGAATAGAGAAGCCGCATCTGTACTCGCATCTTCGATTACTCACCGTTGAGTACGTGTACGGTGATCGATTTCGGTTGAGCATTACTGGGGTTACATGTGTACCGTCCGGAGTCGGACGGCTTTGCTTCTTTCACCAGGAGGAAGCTCGTCGTGGTCTCACCCTTCTCCGTGACTACGGAGATGCCGCCTCTGGTCGAATCGTAGCTGATTATCTGAAACAGAGATCGAACGATCGTTCTGAGGATGGGGGGTTCTGGTATCTCCTCGGATCGAACGCGGGAAGCCGTAGGAAGCGCGCGCGGCCGGGAGAGACGAGTGAGAAATCGGCTAACCAACGCCAGATACAGTTTTTATTGGGCGGCCTCGACGGGTATTGGCTAGAAAAAGACGACGCGGAGATAAGCCCGTCGAAGGACTCCCTTTCAGTTCGCGGGGAGCGAACAGACGAGAGAGGAGAAAAAAAATACGATGTTTTCCCCCCGGCGAGAATTCTTTCCCGCGTGTTCTACAGAATCGATGATCGGAAAGGGGTTGTAAAGTACGGTATCGGGACGTTCTCGGATACAGGAGAGAAGGAAAGATACAGACAGAGGGCGAGAGAGAGAGAGAGAGAGAGAGAGAGGTTTGTCCCAACGTTTGGTGCAAATTGCTTCGGTGGCGACTTATGCCCCGAGGATATTTTCCGGGATAAATATTATTCCGGCTGTGCGGATGATTTTTTCGCGATAGGCGAATGGGAGTTATCTCTCGTGTAATTTTCCCGTAGTTTTAATTGCTTTCCCGAGTTTTACACTAGACACACGTCGGATCGTGCGCTGTTCGCAGCGAGCGTGTGTCGTGTTTTCCGATCGTACTAAATCGTACTGGAAAATGTCGAAGGAAATCGAAGAAGGGGAAAATATTTTCCGTTATATTTTGATACACACAAATGATTATATCTCGTATAAACGCAAAAAAAAAAAAAAGAGAGAGAGAAATAAAAACTCGTGTGTTTATCCGTGCCTCGTATCGTGAAACGTTTTGTTTCTCTGTGAAAAAAAAAAGGATTAATTCATCCGAAGCTCGAATTATTGAGGCATTAGAATAATCAAGGCCGCCACCGTTTTCCGCGCGTTTGCGCTGGAAAATTGAACGTGACGTCCAAACGCTAGTAGTGTGCTCTTACGCGAGGCACCGGCGAACGTCGTGTTTATCCTACGTCTGTTCCACTCGACGATGCTCGTCACGAGTGCCGCTTTAAACGTGCGACCGGCAGGGCCCGCGCTCGGCGGTGCACGCGAACTGAAAGGAACAAGCAGCGAAGAGTGTCGCGAGAGCCGAGAAGGATTTTTAAATAAATAATCCGCAGCCGGAAACCGCCCTTATATAGCGCGACAGTGTGCTTACGTTCCGTCTGAGAGGCACGTAAGCCTTCTTAAGGGAGCACGAATCGTGGAACATTCCCCACATTTGTTGGATATTCACTTCTCGGCCGTGCGCGTGTATGTGTTTCGACGTTAAGTCCGAATGTCACCGCGAACCTTCCGGATCCTCTCGCGATCATCCCGGCGAGCGTGTAAATGCTCGATTATCAATTCAATTCTCCTCGCACGCTATAAACTCTCGTGCGAGCCATATTCCCCCGATACTTAATGCAAAATTCTGTCGTTTTATCGCGGTACTTTTCGTATGACCCTATAAAAGGCAGCTGTAAAGTTTTTACGCGTCACGATAATAAGATTATATAAAAAGAGAGAGAGAGAGAGAGAGAGAGAGAGAAAAGAAAAGAAATTAAGATGTATCGCAAAATTCAAGTTCTAACGAAAAATATCGAGTAATAATAGTTTCTCTTTGTTTTGCCAAGCAAGAAGAACTTAACAAATTCTAACACCACCTATATACGCCGCTACACACGCGTCGTATCAAGAGTCTATTAAAGGATTTCGTAAGCTCGCAACTCTGAGCGCTGCATGCTTAAATTGCCCCCGTAAATGGCAATCCGAGGGATCTCTTCGAGGCGTAATCGCCTCGCTGGGAAAAGTGCGAAGCGCATCCTGGAGAAGTTTGTCTCATCGCGCGCACTGGCTCCGAGGCGAGGGACTTGATTTTTCCGAGCCGAATCCGCGCAATGACGTCGCGTATCCTGTGAGAATAAGAATATCGGTGTCGCTGAGGCCGTGTTTATCCCCGCCGGTTGCTTCGTAGCAACCTCGAAGTGCGATTAATGGGGCGGGAAAGTTGGCGCGCGTTACCGCCGCCACCGTCGTCGCCGAGTTTGATAAGCGCCTACCTTCCTTCCGTTCCGTTATCTAAACCGCGCTGCGGTCTAACGCAGGATAATATGCGAAACTTTCATTCGAAAGTCCACGTTTAATCCGGCCGTGTGTACGAGGCGCAATAATGCCGATGTACACACACACACACACGTAACTGTATGCTTTGCACGTAGCTGCATTCGACAGTCGCACACAGAACTCTAATAACCCCTCCCCCCCTCCCCCTCTTCTCACTCTTTCTTTCTGAGAGCCCCTGAACTTTCTTGCTCTATATGAGTCACGGCTAGCTGCGTCGTCGAGTTTTTACAACCCGCCGCGGTAACTCGCAAATTAGCGTTCTAAAGAGCGTCCCCACTTTCGGCTGCTCGTGGCACAGCATGTGGCAGTAAAATTAAACAACGCTTGAGCGCGCGAGCTCGAATTTCTCTCGAAACTTGCGTTACGCAAGTATATATGAGTTACCGTCTGAGGAATTCGTGCAACTTTTACGAAGCCGATGCGACGGGGCCGCGTAGAAGAGGGAAGAAGTTCAGTTGGGTTCCTCGGCGCGTACCGCGAACGATAAACCGTGTAAACGCGAGCACGAGCGGCGAACGTAAATATTTCACGATCCACGTTAAATGTTTCACGTCGCTGGCGTCTCGTCTCGTTCAGCGCGCGCGCGAATTTATATTGTGAACGATGTTCTTTGCAATTACACGCGGCGCGCGCGAGTTTCCAAATCGAGTTGATTTTTATTTAATTCCACTCAATCACGCCTCTCGCGTTTCCCCATCACTCCCTTTCCGCCCTTCTTCCCCTCCCTCTCTCTCTCTCCCTCTTTTGCGACGCCTCCTCTCCCTCAGACAGGATGGATAAATAATATCCAATTTTCAGTTCATTAATCGTGCAAAGCGCTGACTCCGGTGACTCCGCGACGATTGAATTAAAACAGCGACCAATTACTCGCCGATTAACTCTCGTGACTGTAAATCGATCTGTAACACGTGCGCGTTACATATCGACTGGATATTTACATTCTTCGTCCCGCGTAGCGAAAGGATATCATCGTCATCAGGATTTCTGGCAAGATTACACAATTACGCGCACGAACGGCAGAGCGCGTGCGTCAGATTTTTCCCGTTTGATCGTCGAAACGCGGTGAAACAGAAATCATCGATGTTCCCGGTAATTTCAATGATCCACACCAGGCGTCGCTTATAAATATAAAAAGCTTATAAAAGCTTATCAATATTAAACCGGAGGACGGTCATTTCGCATCAATCGTTTATACACCGTATACAGCCGGACGCTCGACTCGTTAAAAAGGGAGAAAAAATGAACGGTGCAAAATTCATCAGGGGTGGTAAACCGGGGAGAAAGCAGGAAGCCGCCGCTCGCACGGAGGCGCGTTCGATCGATCCACTGGATTCGACGTAGCTTTATTTGATGTTATCAGACGCGCGGGGAGCTCAGCGAGCCAGATCATTTCAGTGCGTCTTAGACGTCCTGTAATTTGCTCAAGTTTTAAAGACGCGCGCGGAAGTTTCCAAGACCGAGGGGGGAGAAGGGGGGAGGGAGGGCTCGTCAACCCCGTTACATGTTCTTACAGAAAATCGGCAAACCCGCGGGATTGCCAGCCGACTCGGATGGAACATCTTGGGCTCAATGGTCCGTTGGAATGGCTTCCCCGCTTCTCTATCATCCCCCCCCCCCCTGTACGTTCTTATCCCCCCCTTTCTCTCCCGTCGTCTTGGCGAATTAGTACTTTTGTCTTATCAGTCTTCGCTCGCGCTTTGATAATGGCATCTTCGCCGGTTTCCTTCGCATTCTTATCCTGCGCGCGACATCAGCTTCGCGGCCAACTAGCGAACTCTCTTCCCCCTCCGTTCTCGCCGTCCACTGCCTCGTGAAATTTGCCGTTTCACACATTTGGCGTTTTAATAAATAGTCCGTCGCCGTTAGTTCGTGCCGACCGCTCGTCCGTGCATTATGTAACGGGAAATTGTGGAACGACAATATCGATTGCTTCGCCGTACGCGCGCAGATTACCTGCCGCGCGGTTGAAAACATATCGAAATTATTAACGAAGCGGTTGAATGTGCTAGTCATATTATACCCGCATATTGCGTAACGTATGGATTTTTAATAAATTTGCACGAGATATTAATTCGTTAATTCATTAATAAATCGATTGACATCGGGCGCGCGCGCGCGGAGCAGTTTATGTGAATTTAAATATATATATATGAATTTAAATATATATATATATATATATATATATATATCCCGTGCACAGGGGTGTAAAATACGAGCGGGGTTGAGCAGAATTGCAATACGGCGTTATCATTCGCAGGTGTTGCGCGAACAGGTCGGATAAAACGACGCGGCTCGCGTATTATCGGGAACGTCCCGATTTTTTTTGTTTTTCGACGCGAGAATTTATCTAATCGGATCGAATGCGTTTCGCGCGATCGCTATTGGGTTAATTTCTATCCGCTCCGCTATCATAGCACCACCACCGAACGCGCTTTCTCCTCAACAATGGAAATGATACAACAAATTGACGAACAAACGTTTGATATTCGCGGCTGCACGGGAAAAAAAAGTGCTACGATCGTGTAAACTTACGACACATGAAAATTTTCAAGCAAACGCAAGTTCCCTTCTTTCATAATCATTTGTTTCTCAGCCTCACATGAGTTGACAGTTATGAATAGATGCAGTTACAAAAGCGCATTTTTGATAGCCAATCTGATGAGCACAAAAATCATTGCAAAGAACAATTGCATTCGTGCAACGCTTCGTACTGAAATAACCTAGTTGTCCAATCTACCATGTCCTTTTATTTCTTCGATTTCCATCGTTTTATCAATGAACATTATTTTTATGCCGTACAATATAGTATATCACACAGCTGCGGAAAATTTCATTTTAACTGCGCGTAATTTAGGTTCGTCCGGTCACGATAGAGAATA